TCCTAAAACATGCTGCCAAGTGAACATAGCAAGAAAAGATGAAATTCTCATAAATAATTTTACAAATATTTTTGTCAAAATGTTTTTGACCAAAAATGACATGAAGGTTTACACTTAACAAAACGTTTTATAAAGAAAACTTTTTAAAACATGCAGGAAAAGACAAAGTTTAAAAAAATCTATTTTAGAAAGATTTCTGTCAGATTTCTTTATTTTCTGACCAAAAAATGACCAATTTTGACCAAGAAATCTGAGAAATTAGTTTCTAAAAATGCTCTCTAAATGCATTGACTTGATGAGAAACATGCAGGAAAAGATAGAATTATGAAAAATAATTTTACAAACTTTTGTCAAAATTTAACCAAATTTGAATAAAAATGGTACAAAACGATTTAAAACAAGAAATTTCCAAATATGTTCTCCAAATGTCCACTTTGATGAGAATCATCAAATCTGAAAAATATTTTTCCAAAATTTTCATCAAAATTTAGAAAAAAAAAAATTTGAAAACTTTTTTTAAAAAAAAACATATTAACCAAATATTTTTCCCCATGTGACGCTTCTAACCAATCACATATGCATTTCCACTTAAACCAGTGGTTCTTCCAATTGACTTTGTCACTACATTAAGCAACTTTTCAGACTCCGTTAAGGATTTAGCTACTGGAGAAAAAACTAGCGAGTGTTGTTTGAAAAATGTCGCTATTATTTACCTGAGAGTATGACGTCTTTCCCTTCCATGGTCACAGGCTCCTCCCTCTCCTCCATTGAGTGACATGCAGAGGAGAGTTACAGTGGGCGTGTTGTGTATCTGGGTGTGTTTGCATTATTCTATGATACATGTGTCATCATTATTTTTCCATGGCCATAGCCTGCACATCAGATGTCTGAGTAATTAACATGAATCAGAGAAAATCCAAGTTACAGCTGCAGAAAAGATTACTTCCAAAGAATACTATCCTTGCTGCTTAATTACAAGAGGGGAATTAACAATGACCTTTTCGTCATCCAGTCAGAAGTCACTTGCCTGTGCACACGTTGGCCTCTCTCGCTGTGTGGAGCTGCAGCTCTTCAACAGCGCCGTGACGATCGCTGGTCACGTGACTTCCCTGGTCCTGTTGTCCGTCAGGCTCGCTCAGAGTTTGAGCCAGACGGAGATAAGCGAGAAGTGAGAAGAGGACAGGGGGAGACAGTCGAGAGGACCCGCACGTTTTACATCCACCATGAGCCAGCGGGACGAGCTGTTAAAGTGTATATGGCACGCATTCACGGCGCTGGACGTGGACAAGAGCGGCAAAGTGTCCAAATCTCAGCTGAAGGTATGAACTTAGTTAACTCTCAATTACCTGTTATTTTACACATGCTATCACGTGCAGAACAGCAAGAGTGTCGTCGGGGACTTCTTAATAATAATGTTCATCATTTGTTGTCACTTTTTAAACTTTGAGCGTAAAACATAGTTCCACGGACATGCGCACCTGTTTACGTCTGTTCAAATAACCAATAAGCAAAAAATGTACCTTTAAAACTTTTGCCGAGAAAATGTACATCCCCTCTCCTCCTGTTTGTTAAGTATGGGTAAAAGCAAACAAATTGAGCAGACAGAAAATCGAGGCTACCTGACCTTATATACAGTATGTCGTTGGACTTTAAATGGAATGTGAATGCTCTGTAAGTGCTCCTCTTCCTTAATACAATTCGATGTCAGTGTAAATAAAAACAACGATTTTTTTTAGCTTGTGGATAAAACATTTTTAAATGTTAATAAATTAGAAACTAGAACAAACTGTTCTAGATGTTAAGGATTCAACCTTAATCACAGATAAATTATGTGCCTGGCATTTCCCATTTACAGACTTTAGCAACTGTACATAGATATGTTATGTTGATGATGAGGGAATGGGGTCAAAGTCAGTGTTTAATTAGTGTTTTTGTTAATAACTGTCATTATGTAGACAATGCTGAGACGCCCTTACAGGTCACACTAGATTGTATCAGGGAAGACGGAAACATCAAACTATATAGGTTTTTAGGTCAGCCAACAAGTGAGTATGAAGAAAGACTAGTTTCTACTGTATGTCAACATTATTTCATCAGCCAGAAATATATGTCACCATACATAACATGGTGGGTGTTACATAGGATTTTGAGAAAGTTGTTTGTTAAACACATCACTTACCTTCTTCATTGTTCTACAATTAGTTGACGCTCCATCCAATTCAACAGGTTTGTAAAAGACTTTCTGTAAAAAAAACAAAGTACCAGATGATAAAGGGAGGGAGCTGGTGTAGCAGATAAATGGTTAATTCAGCCCTGTATATTTTCAATGTACTCAAAGTACTCATCACATCTGATTTTACATGTATTGCTCTGATGAAGTAATAGTACTGACCTGAAGAATCTGACTTGATCAGTTCTTGATTCACAATCTTGGATATAGTCCAGTAGAGGATGTCTTTACCGCGGTAGTGTGTAACATTTACATTAAATTAAAGTGATGATTTTGGCACTTAAATGTGTTTATTCTTTATTAATTAATTATTTAAGTACGGAAAATAACACTACTAAAAAACACATTCAGTCACGTTTTGTGGACTTTTCCTTCCCCAAGTGTGCATGCTAATGACGAACAAA